ATAATCAGCATCGTTCCTGACATCTGCGGCTCTCCTCCATCTACAGCCGTTAACACGAGAGATATCTGCTCTTGTTTCTCTCTGTCTAAAGGCTTCTGCAGCACCATTTCAACGTTTTTATTCCCATCAGCGTTATTGTGCAGTTTCAGAGCGAAATTATCTGTTGGTTTTAATTCGTACCTTTGAAGATCATTCATGCCGACATCAAGATCCACAGCTCTTTCTAGGACAAATTTTGCTCCGGTGATCGCGGACTCACTTATTTTAAATTTGATTTCCCCTTCTTCAAAGGTTGGTGCATTATCATTAATATCAGTGATCTGGACTGTAACGCTGTAAAATTCCATCGGATTCTCTAAAATAATCTGAAAATGTAAAGCGCAAGGCGTCGTCTGTCTGCAGAGCGCCTCTCTGTCGATTCTCTCTTTAACAAGGAGGACTCCTCTTTCTCTGTTCAGCTCGATGTACTCGTCGCTGTCTCGGGTATAAATTCGAGCTTTACCAGAAGTCAAACGTTTGGTTTCTAAACCTAAATCTTGTGCTATATTACCTACTAAAGACCCTTTCGACATTTCCTCCGGTATTGTGTAGCTGACCTGTCCAATTACCGAGCCAAGGGAAAGGAGACAGATAAACAACAGCGCTTGTCCTTTCATTGTTCTATCCGAGTAGTTTACCAACAAGGTTCCACAGTCCGGCTATATATCCCAGAAAGTCAAATCCAGTGCAGTGTCGAACATCAATTTCGAGGCTATATAATCCAAACAGCGGAAAGAAATGTGTCGGAGGTCGTGGCTGTTATCAGATATTCTACAAACCCCGAATGTCTGTTGTTCCCCGTCGTGCTCTCTCTTCATTATGTCGATGTTACATGGGAGGTGCTGCTACAACCCTACTCTGAGCCGTGCACACTCTGGTCAACAGCGGCCCTAAGAGTTCATAATACAAAACTGCAGACAACCAAAATGAAATAATCTGTCCAGAAGACTCACTGTTAGGAAAGTATAACTGGAAATAAAGTAATAAACCCGTGTAAGTGACATTATCCTCTGCACAAACGGCGAATCTTCCCTTTTGTTTCAAGATTCCTGAGCCATAACAATGTGTAGATTGTAACACAAACAACATCTGACTGGTATAGAAGATACAATGCATATGCTTTTCAAAATGAAAAGTAAAAACTCCTCAAGGATTAAACTAATAGAACATTTAAATAGGGACATGGAGAGGAAAACGATTGGTCTAGAAAATTCGCTGTCCGCGGTGCTGAAATAATTCAAGTTTTATTAACGTGCAATGCTCAATCAGTCCGAGTATATAATAAAAATATTAAATACCGAAACTGTCTGTCTGATGTTCAGTCAAATACCAACACCATGTCTCACTTCAAAGCGAAAAAGACTCCAAGCAAGACTGCCAATAAAGGACAAGTCAAACACATTTAAAATACAAATGTTATACAACAGAGCAGAAGGAGACAAACTTTGATGCGAAATTAAAGTGTTTAAAATGTCCGTATCTACCTATTTCCCATTGAAAGTCATAAAAAGTGTACTATACAGTCTGTATCAAAATGAGGTTAAATCAGTGTAACCCCCAAGTGAGTTCTCAGTCCACAACACACAATGCATCCCAGTCAAAATAACGTGGGTGTGAAATAATAGAACAGACTATCACTGCTCAAGAATGTAGATAATAGGATGCTGTCCATGGTACTGAAAATGGAGGAAGGATGTCCAACAGTTTCCGATCTATGAAACTAAACACTGAAAGAGAAATTAAGGCATGGAGAAGAAGCTACATTGTTTAACTAACCTCTAAAGGAGAGTCTGGTTCATCCAGGATGCTCTTTTCACTCTGTATCCGCTGCATCGTCCCTGTAGAACTGGGGTCCATTATCAGCACGTTCTGACTACCAGCTATGCCGAACTTACAGTCACTTTTTCTGGAGTCAGTCGTCCTGCACACCTCGTAATTGTACACGTGTTGGAGAGTCCCTGTCCCCAAAGTGTCTGAGTAACGTGGAGGATAATATGGAATCACAGGGAGATTGGAGTGATACAGGACGCGAGACTGTCTCCATCTGTAGACTTTCACTGATATAATAACCACTAAACACGTGATGAAGAGGAAGGAAACTACAGCCAAAGCCAACACTAAGTAAAAAGTCAGGTTGTCATTGTACTCCTTGTCGTGTGTAAAGTCAGTGAACTCCGACAGCACTTCAGGGAAGCTGTCCGCCACCGCCACGTTAACAATGACTGTAGCTGAACGAGAGGGCTGCCCGTTGTCCTCCACTATAACAGTCAGTCTTTGTTTCACAGCATCTTTATCAGTGACTTGGCGGATAGTTCTTATTTCTCCATTCTGTAAGCCCACTTCAAACAGCGCCCTGTCTGTGGCTTTCTGCAGTTTATAGGAGAGCCAGGCATTCTGTCCAGAGTCAACATCAACAGCCACCACTTTAGTGACCAGATAGCCCACATCTGCTGAACGAGGCACCATCTCAGCCACCAGAGAGCCACCAGTCTGGACTGGGTACAGAACCTGAGGGGGGTTGTCGTTCTGGTCCTGGATCATTATTTTCACACTCACATTGCTACTGAGTGGAGGGGAGCCTCCATCCTGAGCTTTGACGCGGAACTGGAAATCTTTGATCTGCTCGTAGTCAAAAGAGCGCAGTGCATCGATGACTCCACTATCAGCACTAACGGACACATATGAGGAGACTGGTACTCCGCTAACAGAGGAGTCCTCCAGTATGTAAGAAACACGGGCATTCTGGTTCCAGTCAGCGTCTCTGGCTTTCACTGTGAATATAGAGAGACCCGGTGTGTTGTTTTCTACAATGTAGGCCTCATATGAGCTCCTCTCAAAGACAGGCGCGTTATCATTCACATCAGAGATCTGTAAGGTGAGAGTGACGCTGCTGGAGAGGGAGGGCACGCCCTCATCAGAGCAGGTCACCGTAATATTATAATCAGTGGCTCTCTCTCTATCCAGATCACTGTCTGTTACTAAACTATAGAAATTATTGGTTGATGTTTTTAAAAGGAATGGTATGTTTTCGCTGATAAAACATTTCACATTACCATTTTCTCCTGAATCCAGGTCCTCGACATTTATCATTGTAACGACAGTATTGAGTTTGGCATCCTCTGATATAACAGTTGACTTTGACATTATGTTAATTTCGGGCTTGTTGTCATTTAGATCTTTCACATCAACAATTAATTTACATGAATCTGTGAGTCCTCCGTCGTCAATAGCACGTAGATTAATTTGAAAATGTCTTGATTTTTCGAAGTCAATATTTCCAATTACAGTAACTTCGCCGCTTTCCTGATTTACCTCAAATATTTTCCTGACATTTCCTAATGTATTCGTGATTGAATATGTTATTTTACCGTGCGAGCCTTGATCCGCATCTGAGGCTGTAACAGTGGCAACAACTGTTCCTTTAGGTGAATTCTCAGTAACTGTAGCCTTGTATGTTTGCTGTGTAAAAACGGGGGCATTATCATTAACGTCTAAAACTGTGATGATAATCAGCATCGTTCCTGACATCTGCGGCTCTCCTCCATCTACAGCCGTTAACACAAGAGATATCTGCTCATGTTTCTCTCTGTCTAAAGGCTTCTGCAGCACCATCTCAACGTTTTTATTCCCATCAGCGTTATTGTGCAGTTTCAGAGCGAAATTATCTGTTGGTTTTAATTCATAGCTTTGAACACCATTAATTCCAACATCGAGATCCTCAGCTCTTTCCAGCACAAATTTTGCCCCGGTGACCGCTGACTCACTAATTTTAAATGCAATTTCAGTTTTGTCAAAGGTTGGTGCATTATCATTAATATCAGTGATCTGGACTGTAACCGGGTAAAATTCCATCGGATTCTCTAAAATAATCTGAAAATGTAAAGCGCAAAGCGCCGTCTCTGTACAGAGCACCTCTCTGTCGATTCTCTCTTTGACGAGGAGGACTCCTCTTTCTCTGTTCAGCTCGATGTACTCGTCGCTGGTCCTAGTATAGATTTTAGCTTTTCCCGACATCAAACGTTTTATTTCTAAACCTAAATCTTGTCCTATATTTCCCACTAAAGAGCCTTTCGCCATTTCTTCGGGAATAGAGTAGGTGACCTGTCCGACCACGGCGCCGAGGGAAAGGAGAGAGATAAACAACAGTACTTGCCGATTCATTGTTCTATCCGATTTTTTCCCCAGTAAAGCTCCACAGTCTGATTATACTCCAGAAAAAAACATATAACTCTTAAATTCCAGTGCCAAATCACAAGGTATCACTTTCAAAGCCCACTCATTGGAAGCAAATGTCCTGCAAGTCGAAATGTCTCATCTTCTTTATAAAAATGTTCCACACCCAGACTTATCCGTTCTTTGCCCGTCGTGTTCTCTCTGTATTGTGTCGATGTTACATGGGAGGTGCTGCTTCATCCCTGCACTCAGTCATCAACACTCTGGTCAACAGCGGCCCTATGAGTCCATAGTATAAAACTGCAGAACACCAACTAAAATTAAACTCCGGAGAGCTTAGTGTAATCCATCTGGATATTTAGTTACAACACATCTAATAAATATATTGGACTTTCCAAACTAATACAGGAGGAAAACATGATTGATATTCATATTATTTACTGTCTTCGTCATTAAAATAATATAATTGAAGATAACAGATACACAATCAAAGGAAATATGTTTATCAGACCTTACAGATCTATCGGGGATTGCGATGGATATAAAATCCATTTTAAGACAGGAAGGGGATATAGCTCTGAAACGGTTTCTCTACATGATGACTATGAAAAATAATGAGAAGAACAGAGACCAATATTAAAACTGTGGAAACGGCAGCTGACAAACAGGATGCACGAGTGGCTGTAGTATTTATGTCGCTGTCCGCAGTTCTGAAGTGTATCTACTCAAAGCTCTCACACTGCAGGAGCTGTTCGAAGAACACGATTCTGTATTGCGCTAAAATATCTGAAAAACCATTGTGAAACATTACTATTAAAAATAAATGGATTAGATTTATTGTCCCAGAGGAAGATTTATTTTCACAGCCAGCACAACACAGCAGAACTTGGTCCTTCGTCTACTTCCATTATCACTACAACTACTTCTACCACACTCATTAATTATTAATATCAAAACAACTCGTGGTGTCTTTCAATATAGGTTTAGGTTAAAATGCATTCGAAGTCCCTTTGGAGAATAAACATAGCTGAAAAAGTGACCAGTATATAGAAATATAGGGCATAGAAACTGGTCCCCTAAACGAAAAGTATACCCAAAATGCCATGCTCCCCTTTTGTTAGTTAAAAAATAATTGTGTGTCATTAAAGACGTTTTAAATAATCAAGCATACACTGAAATGGTATTGAAGTCGTCTAACCTCTAGAGGAGAGTCTGGTTCATCCAGGATGCTCTTTTCACTCTGTATCCGCTGCATCGTCCCTGTTGAACTGGGGTCCATTATCAGCACGTTCTGACTACCAGCTCTGCCGAACTTACAGTCACTCTTTCTGGAGTCAGTCGTCCTGCACACCTCGTAATTGTACACGTGTTGGAGAGTCCCTGTCCCCAAAGTGTCTGAGTAACGTGGAGGATAATATGGAATCACAGGGAGATTGGAGTGATACAGGACGCGAGACTGTCTCCATCTGTAGATTTTCACTGATATAATAACCACTAAACACGTGATGAAGAGGAAGGAAACTACAGCCAAAGCCAACACTAAGTAAAAAGTCAGGTTGTCATTGTACTCCTTGTCGTGTGTAAAGTCAGTGAACTCCGACAGCACTTCAGGGAAGCTGTCCGCAACCGCCACGTTAACAATAATTGTAGCTGAACGAGAGGGCTGCCCGTTGTCCTCCACTATAACAGTCAGTCTTTGTTTCACAGCATCTTTATCAGTGACTTGGCGGATAGTTCTTATTTCTCCATTCTGTAAGCCCACTTCAAACAGCGCCCTGTCTGTGGCTTTCTGCAGTTTATAGGAGAGCCAGGCATTCTGTCCAGAGTCCACATCAACAGCCACCACTTTAGTGACCAGATAGCCCACATCTGCTGAACGAGGCACCATCTCAGCCACCAGAGAGCCACCAGTCTGGACTGGGTACAGAACCTGAGGGGGGTTGTCGTTCTGGTCCTGGATCATTATTTTCACACTCACATTGCTACTGAGTGGAGGGGAGCCTCCATCCTGAGCTTTGACGCGGAACTGGAAATCTTTGATCTGCTCATAGTCAAAAGAGCGCACTGCATGGATGACTCCACTACCAGCACTAACGGACACATATGAGGAGACTGGCACTCCGTTAACAGAGGAGTCCTCCAGTATGTAAGAAAGACGGGCATTCTGGTTCCAGTCAGCGTCTCTGGCTTTCACAGTGAATATAGAGAGACCTGGTGTGTTGTTTTCTACAATGTAGGCCTCATATGAGCTCCTCTCAAAAACAGGCGCGTTATCATTTACATCAGAGATCTGTAAGGTGAGAGTGACGCTGCTGGAGAGGGAGGGTACTCCCTCATCAGAGCAGGTCACTGTGATGTTATACTCAGAGGCTCTCTCTCTGTCTAAATCACTGTCTGTCACTAAACTATAGAAATTATTTGTGGATGATTTTAAAATGAATGGCACGTTTTCGCTTATAAAACATTGCACTTTTCCATTTTCTCCAGTGTCCTTGTCCTCTATGTTTATCATTGTAACGACAGTATTGAGTTTGGCATCCTCTGATATAACAGTTGACTTCGACATTATGTTAATTTCAGGATTGTTGTCATTTACATCTTGTACATCAACAATCAATTTACAGGAATCTGTGAGTCCTCCCTCATCACTAGCGAGTAAATTTATCTGAAAATTTCGCGACTTCTCAAAATCAATATTGCCAACTAAAGTAACTTCTCCGTTTTCCCTGTTTATCTTAAATACTTTCCTGACATCATCAAATGTATTCGTGATTGAATATGTTATTTTACCGTTAGAGCCTTGATCCGCATCTGAGGCTGTAACAGTGGCAACAACTGTTCCTTTAGGTGAATTCTCAGTAACTGTAGCCTTGTATGTTTGCTGTGTAAAAACGGGGGCATTATCATTAGCGTCTAAAACTGTGATGATAATCAGCATCGTTCCTGACATCTGCGGCTCTCCTCCATCTACAGCCGTTAACACAAGAGATATCTGCTCTTGTTTCTCTCTGTCTAAAGGCTTCTGCAGCACCATCTCAACGTTTTTATTCCCATCAGCGTTATTGTGCAGTTTCAGAGCGAAATTATCTGTTGGTTTTAATTCGTACCTTTGAAGATCATTCATGCCGACATCAAGATCCTCAGCTCTTTGTAGGACAAATTTTGCTCCTGTGATCGCTGACTCACTTATTTTAAATTTAATTTCCCCTTCTTCAAAGGTTGGTGCATTATCATTAATATCAGTGATCTGGACTGTAACGCTGTAAAATTCCATCGGATTCTCTAAAATAATCTGAAAATGTAAAGCGCAAGGCGTCGTCTGTCTGCAGAGCGCCTCTCTGTCGATTCTCTCTTTAACAAGGAGGACTCCTCTTTCTCTGTTCAGCTCGATGTACTCGTCGCTGTCTCGGGTATAAATTCGAGCTTTACCAGAAGTCAAACGTTTGGTTTCTAAACCTAAATCTTGTGCTATATTACCTACTAAAGACCCTTTCGACATTTCCTCCGGTATTGTGTAGCTGACCTGTCCAATTACCGAGCCAAGGGAAAGGAGACAGATAAACAACAGCGCTTGTCCTTTCATTGTTCTATCCGAGTAGTTTACCAGCAAGGTTCCACAGTCCAGCTATATATCCCAGAAAGTCAAATCCAGTGCAGTGTCGAACATCAATTTCGAGGCTATATAATCCAAACAGCGTAAAGAAATGTGTCGGAGGTCGTGGCTGTTATCAGATATTCGACAAACCCCGAATGTCTGTTGTTCCCCGTCGTGCTCTCTCTTCATTATGTTGATGTTACATGGGAGGTGCTGCTACAACCCTACTCTGAGCCGTGCACACTCTGGTCAACAGCGGCCCTAAGAGTTCATAATACACAACTGCAGACAACCAAAATGAAATAATCTGTCCAGAAGACTCACTGTTAGGAAAGTATAACTGGAAATAGAGTAATAAAGCCGTGTAAGTGACATTATCTTCTGCACAAACGGCGAGTCTTCCCTTTTGTTTCAAGATTCTTGAGCCATAACAGTGTGTAGATTGAAACACAAATAACATCTGACTGGTATAGAAGATACAATGCATATGCTTTTGAAAAGGAAAAGTAAAAATTCTTCAAAGATTAAACGAATATAAAATTGAAATAGGGACACGGAGAGTAAAACGATTAGTCTAGAATATTCGCTGTCCGCGGTGCTGAAATAATTTAAGTTTTATTAACGTCCAATGCTCAATCAGTCCGAGTATATAATAAAAATATTAAATACCGAAACTGTCTGTCTGATGTTCAGTCAAATACCAACACCATGTCTCACTTCAAAGCGATAAAGACTCCAAGCAAGACTGCCAATAAAGGACAAGTCAAACACATTTAAAATACAAATGTTATACAATAGAGCAGAAGGAGAGAAACTTTGATACAAATTCAAGTGTTTAAAATGTCTGTATCTAAGTATGTGCCATTAAAAGTCATAAAAATATATATAGTCTGTATAAAAACGAGGTTAAATCAGTGCAACCCCCAAGTGAGTTCTCAGTCCACAACACACAATGCATCCCAGTCAAAATAACGTGGGTGTGAAATAATAGAACAGACTATCACTGCTCAAGAATATAGATAATAGGATGCTGTCCATGGCACTGAAAATGGAGGAAGGATGTCCAACAGTTTCCGATCTATAAAACTAAACACTGAAAGAGAAATTAAAGCATGGAGAAGAAGCTACATTATTTAACCAACCTCTAGAGGAGAGTCTGGTTCATCCAGGATGCTCTTTTCACTCTGTATCCGCTGCATCGTCCCTGTAGAACTGGGGTCCATTATCAGCACGTTCTGACTACCAGCTCTGCCGAACTTACAGTCACTTTTTCTGGAGTCAGTCGTCCTGCACACCTCGTAATTGTACACGTGTTGGAGAGTCCCTGTCCCCAAAGTGTCTGAGTAACGTGGAGGATAATATGGAATCACAGGGAGATTGGAGTGATACAGGACGCGAGACTGTCTCCATCTGTAGATTTTCACTGATATAATAACCACTAAACACGTGATGAAGAGGAAGGAAACTACAGCCAAAGCCAACACTAAGTAAAAAGTCAAGTTGTCATTGTACTCCTTGTCGTGTGTAAAGTCAGTGAACTCCGACAGCACTTCAGGGAAGCTGTCCGCCACCGCCACGTTAACAATGACTGTAGCTGATCGAGAGGGCTGCCCGTTGTCCTCCACTATAACAGTCAGTCTTTGTTTCACAGCATCTTTATCAGTGACTTGGCGGATAGTTCTTATTTCTCCATTCTGTAAGCCCACTTCAAACAGCGCCCTGTCTGTGGCTTTCTGCAGTTTATAGGAGAGCCAGGCATTCTGTCCAGAGTCCACATCAACAGCCACCACTTTAGTGACCAGATAGCCCACATCTGCTGAACGAGGCACCATCTCAGCCACCAGAGAGCCACCAGTCTGGACTGGGTACAGAACCTGAGGGGGGTTGTCGTTCTGGTCCTGGATCATTATTTTCACACTCACATTGCTACTGAGTGGAGGGGAGCCTCCATCCTGAGCTTTGACGCGAAACTGGAAATCTTTGATCTGCTCGTAGTCAAAAGAGCGCACTGCATGGATGACTCCACTATCAGCACTAACGGACACATATGAGGAGACTGGCACTCCGTTTACAGAGGAGTCCTCCAGTATGTACGAAATACGGGCATTCTGGCTCCAGTCAGCGTCTCTGGCTTTCACTGTGAATATAGAGAGACCTGGTGTGTTGTTTTCTACAATGTAGGCCTCATATGAGCTCCTCTCAAAAACAGGCGCGTTATCATTCACGTCAGAGATCTGTAAGGTGAGAGTGACACTGCTGGAGAGGGAGGGTACTCCCTCATCAGAGCAGGTCACTGTGATATTATACTCAGAGGCTCTCTCTCTGTCTAAATCACTGTCGGTTATGACGGTAAAGAAATTATTTGTTGTTGATTTAATAGCAAACGGAATATTTTCGTTTAAAACACACATGACTTTGCCGTTATTGTGTGAATCCAGATCTTGAATATTAAGCATTGTTACAACCGTTCCCGGCTTCATGCTCTCAGAAACTGTGTTTGAGTTAGACATGATGTTAATGGTCGGAGGGTTATCGTTTGTATCTGTCACGTCCACAATTAGTTTACAAGCGTCGGATAATCCTCCCTGATCTGATACCTGAACATCTAACTCATAAAGTTTCCTTTTTTCATAATCGACATTTCCAGTTAAGGTTAATACTCCATTACTGGGATCAATTTCAAAGAGACCCGCTGCTCCAGATTTTGAAATCATGTATGTTACTTTACCGTTATTGCCTTTATCTATGTCTGTAGCCTTTACGGTAGTTATTAAAGTGCCAACAGGAGCGTTCTCTATAACACTTGCTTTGTATTCCGGTTTTGAACAAACAGGCGGGTTGTCATTGGCGTCTAACACAGTTATGATAATCTGCATTATCCCCGAAAGCTGTGGTTCACCACCATCCAGAGCGGTTAGTATTAATGACATATGCTCCTGATTCTCTCGATCTAACTGTTTCTGTAAAACCATCTCGACATGTTTAGTCCCATCTCCTCGGCTGATGGTTTTCAGAACGAAATTATCACTGGGTTTTAGGGCGTAGCTGCTCAAGCCGTTTACACCAACATCATCGTCTATGGCTTTCTCTAAGACAAATCGAGCTCCGGTAAGAGCTGATTCGCTAATTTCATATTTCATCTCACCTCTCTCAAATGTGGGAGGGTTGTCATTTATATCGGTAATTTCGACAGTAACTGTGTAAAACTCCATTGGGTTTTCCAAGATCATTTGAAAATGGAGTGCGCAAGGCATTGTTTGACCGCATAGAGATTCTCTGTCTATTTTATTTTTAACAAGGAGGACTCCTCTTTCTCTTTTCAGCTCAATATATTC